CCAGGTGGAGCTAACAGTTGGAAACTGGAATATATCCTCACTCAGAAGGAAACGGCAGGAGCTAGATGATGAGACAGAAAGGTACCAACTTCATAGTTGAACTCTCGAAAATGAAGTGCCAAGGCTCTAGAACTCTGAACCTCTGCGGGCGGAAGCAATCCTACTCAGGTGTCGACATCACACGACTCGCGCTCAGGCCGGTGTTCTGGTAAAACTCAACCTTATTGACAGAATCAAAGAATGTAAGTCTTTCAGTGGAAGAGTGGCAATCGAACGACTCATGCTACAACAGGTCTTGTTAACATATCACAGGTCAAAACTGACCTTGTTACAAGCCTATACGCCCACTTTGTAGGAAGAATATGAGTCTTTCCTAGGTGTTCTCTACCAAGCCTACTATGGAATTCATCATTCTAATGGGTGATTTTTATGAGCATGTCAGAGCAGACACTGAGAAGTGGAAAGGCGTAATCGGAAAGAACAGCCTTAGCGACCATGAGAGTAACGGCACATAGCTGTTGCAGTTTTGCGCAAACAACGAAGTGTCTGTTACGAACACCTTCGAGCATCAATGTACCTTGTATAAGGAAGTTTGCGAACAGAAATCGATGATCAATTTCATAATTGCATTGTGTAACTTACGACGTTTTGTAATTAATGGATGTTAGCGTCAAGAGAGGCGCAGAGCTGTCAACCGATCACCACCATTTGTTGGCTCGCTACGCTGTAAGAAATAAAGCACTATACGAAGACCTGGTGGCAGAAGCAACCAGAGAATCAAATGGGAATCATTACCTTCGATGGACACGAGAGCGAAATTTCCAAACAACGCAAGACGGTTTGAAAAGATCCCCATGATGACAGGTGATGTGGAAACCGAGGGGCAGCTCTTTAAGAACGGCATAATCACTCGAGGCTGCCGCCGAATGCTGCGGATTTAAACGGGTTGGCCTGCCGCCTGGAGGTCAGAAAACATCTTCCTGGTAGACACTAGAGGTACAACTGGCAGTTAAAGAGAAGGCAGCGTTCAAGAAATGGCTTGGAAACAAAGAGCCGTCTACTCGCGTGCGATACGTCGAAGCATGCAAGGCGGCAGCTAATGCAGGGGCGAAA